GACTACAGATGAAGCTTCCTTTCATCAATCAAGTAGGACAGTAGGACAAGTCAAGAAGAGGTGCTCTCATTCTGTTTTTAAGAAAACAGGGTCCTGCTATGTTGCTCAGGTCAGCTGGCTTCAAACTCTTGGTCTCAAAATTCTCTTGCTTCTTCCTCCTAAGAAATTGGGGCTATAGGCATATGCCACCCCATCCGGCAACTCCAATGTCACAGTAGTTTCAAACTTGCACTTTGCCTTCTCATATTCACTTTTATTATACATGTTTTCACTATCACTGTAGCCTTGATTCAATGCTAACCATTTGTGGTTGGAGAGGTGGCTCAGGGGTTAAGAGTACTGGCTGCTCTTCCAGAGGACCTGGGTTCAGTTCCTAGTACCCATATGGCAGCTCACAACTGTGGTAATATATTGTGTACCCTAATAAAATGTCTGAAGATCAGAGAACAGAACAAGCCACTAGATTAAACATAGAGGACAAACAGTGGTGGCACACATCTTTAATTCTAGCATTTGGGAGGCAGAGATCCATCTGGATCTCTGTGAGTTCAAAGCCACCCTGGCCTACAGGAGATTGACTCAGTCTAGGAGAGAAACAGAGCCCGGCAGTGGTGGTACACACCTTTAAGCACAGTAGTTGGGAAGCACACACTTTTTTAATGGCTGGACAGAGAAAGGTATATAAGGCATGAAGAGGCAGGAACTAGAAGCTTTTTGGCTCAGGAACCCCTTTCTGCTAGAGGCCTATCGGCTGAGGCTTTTTTAAGCTGAGGAGTTGGTAAGGTAAGAGGTGGCTGTGACTTGTTCCTTTGTCTCTCTGATCTTTCAGCATTTACCCCAATATCTGGTCCCGGGGTGTTTTGGGGTTTTTTTTTTTTTGTTTTTTTTTAATTAAAAAACCATTTTAACAATTTGTGTTACACACAACTGTCTGGAACTCCAATTGCAGGGGACCCGATATCCATGGCAAAACACGAATACACGTAAAATAAAATAAAATAAAATAAAAAAGATCTGTTTAAGAAAAAGAAAAAAAAAGGTGCTCATGTTTACTGAGCACCTATGAGAGCAAAGCCATGAACAAAACCTACTGCCTCCCTAGATTCTTTGTCTGGTTTAGTGGGTAAGTCTCGTCATTGTTTTGGGTTATAGTTTCCATATCTATAAGATGATGTTAGGGCCAAATGGTGTTCACAAACACCTGTTATACTCTGTTCTATTCTATTCTATTTCACTCCTCTCTAGTCTATGATCTGTATGTATGTGGTGCTGGTGCTGGGGACTGAACTCAGGGCCCTGTACATGTCAGGCAGGTGCACTGAGTATAATATCCACAACAGTATGGAAGACATTTCTTGATTAAAAAATGATATATTCAGATAATTTTCCTCAATTCAGTTATTTGTTGTTGTATTTACATTTTTATGTTCAAATATTTGCATACATAAACCTTAATTAAGGTTAAGTCAGGTGCTGGCTTGCACCTCCTATATTGGCATTTTACCTTTATCACCATTTCTAACGGCTAGACACTATCAAATACAGTCAAAAAGAAAGAACACTGAACACTCTTCTGTATTCTCACTTGCATGTTTAAAGTGTTGAGTAAATCAGAATCTCTATGTGGCATAAATTTCAGAGTGACCAGAAGAAAACTAAAAATGTGTACGATTAAGGCACTTGACAGAAAAGTATGGAACTATATAAGGAGTCAGCAGATTCAGAAGGGCTCTGTTACCAGAGACTTGAATAGGTATCCAACAGAAAAGTATATTCCATTTAACATAAGGGCATGTCACTAGCTAGTCAAGCCAGTAAAGTAACTGTGGCATACCAAGCAGCCATGGTGCAATCTCCACTACAAATAACAGCAGCTCATGCCTCACTTACCATGAGGAGTACTAGTTCATCCTCGGGAACAGGTTCTAGATCTGGAACAGTAAATGACTCTGGAAACTGTGCTCCGTTGGTCAGGGCTTCTGCAGCCTTGATTGTGGTTGAGAAGCATTCTAACCAGGCCCACTCATTAGGATTCCAGGATGCAGGGTCAGGGAGGCAGTTCTGATGGTGTGGTGGCACTGGAGGGCTACACAACAGCTGATCCAGATGAAGCCCCACAGCAAGGGAGGCCAGACATTGCATGTAGGGGCTGTGAACAAGCTGGTCGCCACAAACCACATGAGGCTAAGAAAAAAACAAAAAACAAAAAGAATGACATGTTAAGGAGCCTATGTCAGATATTCTGAGTAAACTTATGTTATGAAAGCTTATAGAGCTAATAAAGAGAATTCTACACATTCTTCACTCAATTTTCTCTAATATGTATAAAATAACTTACATAATCATACAACATTCATCAAAACTAAGAAACTTATGCTGGCACAATATTAGCCAAACGAGAACTTCATTTGGTTTTGCCACTCATATCCCTTTGTGTGTGTGTGTGTGTGTGTGTGTGTGTGTGTGTGTGTGTGTGTGTGTGTTTTCCTGATTATAAACAAGATATATAACACCTAAATCACAAAGACCTGGTTCTTCTCACATTTCTTTCATTACCAAGAAAACCTTGGTAGTCATCAAAGACAAATTCTCTTTTATGGCAGTCTTTAATCATGACAGAGCAAATCTATCACAGAGACCATGAAAATTAAATCCAGGCAGATTCTTCAGTGAAATTAACTGAGTATGGAGTGAACAAATCATCTGAAAAAGAATGTATTAACACTACAAATCTGAGGGTTATAGTTTCATTTTACTCAGGTGAAAATAAACAAAGAATGGGCTTAAGATTACTGAACAACTGCGTAGGTACAAGTGACTTCATTTCTGTCCCAATAAGCTGCAATTATTTCCCTCAAATGTCCTGTCCCTGTGGGAGGGATGAGTGGGGTGGAATCCAAATTCCAGAATACCAAGTACTACGGGAATTAGGGTGATGAGTTACCTTTTCATAAGCATATTGCTCTTGAAGCATCATGGGTAGCCGCTCCAGAAATGCTCTCATGCAGGGAGCCATGTTTAATCCCAGAACACCCTGTTGTTTCAGGGCTGTCCTACAGGTTGCTAAAACATGATTGGCAGAAGCCCATTCTGCTGTACAGTTCACAACCAAAACATCCTGGTAGAAAAATAAATTATGCCATATGATTCATTTGTTTAAATAAAAGATTAAAACATCATGCCATCATCAATCAACCTGAAAAATTCTCTCCAGTAATTGGATTAAATACTTTTCCTTTTTATGTATAAAAAAGTCTATGAAACTTTAAAACATCCTAATTTTAAGTAAAACAAGTGAATAAAACAAAACAAAAAACCACCTTAACAAATTTTCCTTAAAAACAATGTCAATTATCTGCTAGTTCACAGGACTTGTGAGACTAGGCATTCAGTACACTTCACAAATCTGACATGACTACAGGGACAATAGAAATAAAAATAGTTGTTTCCTCAGGAACACAATGCAAAAGCCCCAGAACTGCCCTATTCTATGCAGTAGACTCCATGGTTGTTTGTACTGCTTAGGGTGCTACGTACTATATTGCTAATCTTAAAAACATCCTAGGTTTGGTTAGCTTTTATTTTTATTTTTAGTAGGACCATTCACATAGGATTATAGCTTCTTTTAACACTATTTAAGCACATAAAATGTAAATCAAACAGCACACTGGTTTTAATCTTTGAGAGTATGAAGACCGCTATAGGGGTAATACCATACATCAGAACGTTTTCACAGCAGGTGGCTAGCACTTTTACTAGACTCTTAAATTTCAAAGCCATGATATATTTTGGATACTTAAATGTTTCTGAGATTTTTTTGCCCACAGAATATTCTTTTGAGATATTTAGTGCTGTCAAAATTCATGTGAGAAAATCAGAATCTACTTATGTCTTCCAATGGAACAAATTAAAAAAAAAAATCAAATCAAGCATTTTCGGCAAAGTCCAGGTACATCAGAAAGAAACTAGGATAAGAAATGAGCATCCTCAGGTTCTAACTCCTTTCTTTTTTTTTTTTTTTTGTTTTGTTTTTCGAGACAGGGTTTCTCTGTGTAGCTTTGTGCCTCTCCTGGAACTCACTTGGTAGCCCAGGCTGGCCTCGAACTCACAGAGATCCGCCTGGCTCTGCCTCCCGAGTGCTGGGATTAAAGGCGTGCGCCACCACCGCCTGGCTCTAACTCCTTTCTACTACTCAGTAGTTGCATTCTCTTGGGCAAGCAATAATCTTTCAGGTAGCAGTTGTCCCTCTGTGCAGTGAGGGGCTTAGACTGTAACTTCTAACACTTCTCTAGGCTAATACTCAGTGACTTGTTGTGACTGGAAGGTTACCTTTGATCTATTTGAACAGGCAGCTACCCCAACTTCTGGAATCCATACTGTGGTCTGAATAGCTCCAGAGCCTATCACAACAGTTTGTAAGACAGAGCCATCCTAAAATGAGATATATTTATCAGTGCTCATTTCCTGACTTTAAGCATTGTTGATACAACATCTATTATTTTATATTCACAAAATATACATTAAAAAATTATAACTGAGCTGAATTCAACAACATTGACTTTTAACCTACTTTTCACTTTATACCCACTTTTCATTTTAAAAATACTTATCAGTAAGAAAAACCAAAGGACAGAATATTGGTTCTATAGATGATTCATCTATCTTATAGAAAGAGTCATCTCTACAGGAGCTTCTTCATTACCTAAGACACTGTTACATGAAATATTCTTAAGATGAGTTAATTTTAATTATATATGATCCAAGATAATATAAAATGTTTCTTAACATTAAAAAAAAAAAGTGTTCTTACCCTTAAAGACCAAATGTTCATAAGCCCTCCAAGTCCACCAGACACCAAGGCCAACCCATCAGAACTGAAGGCCACAGTCCGAACAGGAGTGATGTGTCCCCGCAGCTGATAAACACACTTGGTTCCTGCTGATTTCCTATAGCCATCCTACAATTAATTGTTTTGAATATATATTAGTTTAAAAATAATGTACAGGTTCAAGATTCTGAGACTGGAAAGTTTACATTTCAGTAGTAGGAAACTGGGGATTGAGTTTCCTTTCTTTCTCCCATAGTTACTTAACTTGATGAGCAACAATAAAGCAGCAACCTAGTTTTGTTTCTATATATTTTTTTTTTTAGTTTTAAAAATTATATTTATTTTGTGGGGGTGGGGAGAGATGTGAGGGGTGGGACATGTGTGAGGTCAGGAATAGGTTCTTTCCTTCTGTCACAATGGTCTCAGGGCTCAAATTCAGGAGGTCAGACTGAGTAGCAAGCTCCTTTGGCCACTAAGCCATCTCACCAGCCCCAAACAGGTCTTTTATTTATGCTTCAGGATTCTCACTGCATGCTTATTTCATCTTGTCTTCCTGGATTGGATTTCATTTTTTCATTCATCCTCCTCCGAGGACTCCTCTACTGTTGAAGTATTTCCCAGACACAAGGGTTCATAAAGAAAGCCAAGCAAATGACCCAGGATTGCCCAGCACTTAATGGGTCAGCACAAGTGATCCAGCAGGCTTTCCTTTCCCCTAAAGCAGATATCACAGATGGGGCAACAGTAGATATTTTGCTTCCTGTGGGTGTTCCGGTGGGAGCCTATCATCACAGACGACTGGGAGGACTCCTTGCAACTTAAGTATTGGTTGGGCTGATTTTTGAAGTGGAACTTGAGGTGGGTTAAGAAATAGGTCTTCCTGGTTAAACGTACTGAACAATAGGGGCAGCGGATCTTTCTTCTAGAGCATCTCACTGGAATAGGGTTGGATCTGACATCCAAGGATGAGGCTCTGCTGTTCCTTGTCTTAGTCCTGGCCACTGGTCCCTGGATCACTTTTGAGTGCCTGAGGATGGGAGCCTGGGATCTAGGTGATGTACGTGGAGCCTTCACCTTACGCTCCTGGCTGCTAGCCACTGGCTTCCTGTTTTGGTGTACCTTCATGTGGCGTTTGACCTCAGACTGATCCCGGAAGCGTTTTCCACACACAGAGCATGAACTGGGCCTATAACCTAAATGAGTACGTCGGTGACGGCTCAGTCCAGAGGCATCACGGTAATTCTTGTCACAGAGCTCACAAGCGAAAGGTCTCCCTCTACGATTCTGGGGCTTGGAGCCGAGGGCTTTGTGGCCAGTAGTCTGCTGGGCCTTCAAAGGAAACTGGTGATTAAAGACGTCGGTGTACTTTTTGTAACATTTGCCACAGGTCAGACAGAAATAGAGAGGTCCACCTTTGAATATCCCTGTGCAAGCTCGAGAGGTCTTCTCTTCATCATCTCTCTCCTCATCTTCCAGGTTTGAGCTAGGTTTTTGAGATTTTTCTCTTGCGTCCTGCTCTTTGGGGGATGGAAACCTGATCTCCTCCGTCCTTTTCCATTTTGCATGGTGTTCTGATCTACAAATGTCAGGTTCTTAAAGGTTTCTGACAACACATTCTGGTAAACAGCCTTCTGCTTCTCAGTCAGACATTCCCACTCTTCCTGGGTGAAATCCACTGCCACGTCCTCGTAAGTGATTGGTATCTGGAGTGGCTGTTTCTTAGCTCCCATTGTTTGGTAATGCCAGGCTGGTGCTGGGTGTTTGAAGGTTATTCCAGACTGCTTCTAGTCACTGCTTGTTGGTGCCCACTTCTAGAAATCACCGCGTTGCCGGGAGGGGAGGCTTCCCCCAGCTGGTGTGGGTCCCCTCGTGGCTCCACCAGGGCTCTCACAGAGGCCGCAGCCCGACAGTCCCGCGGCCGGCCTACAGTCTTCCCCAGCGCGGGTCCTCCGGGCGGCTGCCCCGGACTGCGCACTCTATATATTTTTTTAAAGATTTATTTATTTATTATGTATATAGAAGAGGGTGCCAGATCTCATTGCAGATGGTTGTGAGCCACCATGTGGGTGGCTTTTTTTTTTTTAATTAATTTATTTTATTTCATGTGCATTTGGTGTTTTGCCTGCACTGGAGTTACAGACAGTTGTGAGCTGCTATGTGGGTGCTGGGAATTGAACCCAGGTCCTCTGGAAGAACAATCAGGATTGAACCCGGGTCCTCTGGAAGAACAATCAGTGCTCTTAACCACTGAGCCATCTCTCCAGCCCATTGTTTCTATACTTTTTAAAACTAATTTTCTGTTCTTTTTTGTTTTGTTTTATTTTGCTTTTTTTTTTTTTTTTTTTTTTTTTTTTTTTTGGTTTTTCGAGACAGGGTTTCTCTGTGTAGCTTTGCGCCTCTCCTGGAACTCACTTGGTAGCCCAGGCTGGCCTCGAACTCACAGAGATCCGCCTGCCTCTGCCTCCCGAGTGCTGGGATTAAAGGCGAGCGCCACCACCGCCCGGCTTTATTTTGCTTTTTAAGATAGGGTTTCCCTCTGTAGCCCTGGCTGTCTTGGAACTCACTCTGTAGACCAGGCTGGCCTCAAACTCAGACGCAGACCTGCCTGCGTCTGCCTCCCGAGTGCTGGAATTAAAGGTGTGCACCATCCCCACCTGGCTAATTTTCTGTTCTTTAAACAAGCAGAAATAACTATATTTCAAAGTTCCAGTATCTGTGGGACAGAAAATTTTGACTTTTGCTTGTGACCAATAGCTTGACTTCATGTAATTTTTATTTTCTCACCTGGCACTTGTGAACTACATGTAATCCTTCTATATAAACAGGTTTCCCCACTGTCAGCTGATGCTTCTGTCTGTAACACTATGTTTTGGGTGATACTTCCCTTCTATCATTTAGCTGGATACTCCTTCCCTTCTCCCTGCACTTTGCTTCCTCTTTATTCTAGTTGAGGACAGTACCAGAGGCACCCATCTACCCAAAGGCCACTAAGGGGAGTTTCTTTCCTCAAAGGGTGTTTGTATCACAGACAGAAAGGAGCTGCAAACTGGTAGTTCAGAGATTCAGTTTAATCAGGCACTCAGTATTTAAAGAAACGTAAAATGGCGATATTAGTATCTTATTATTTGGAGTTTTTACTTAAAATAGTAGGGGTTTGGCTTCTATGTTAAAAATTAGATACTTGGTTAACAACAAGCTCTTAATTCTACAGAAGTGGCAATCAGCTGGGCATTTGATATCAACATTTACTAAACAGGGTCAGAGCCCACCTAGTAACTGAATGCCAAGGCTCTGAAACATTTGGAAACAGCAAAAGGTTTCTGAATATATCATGACCAAAAAATTAATACAAAACCAAACACATACGGATCCCAGGTGTCTCCCACAGTGATTGCCTTTGCATTGCATGACCCTGCTATAGGTGTGGTTCCGAGTACATGTGTCCCCCTGCACTGTGCATGCTGTCCACTGTGCAACTTGACACACCAGTGAAGGTTTCATGAAACATCCTGGTTAAAATTTGAGATTATATGCTATGAATTGTAGGGATTTTTTTTTTACATACAAAGTTTTCTGTTCTTACAGAAATGTAATCATTTAATTACAGAAAACAAAGTCTTTCTGTATTTTCCGATTACCAATCATTAGCAAGCATCAAACCAGTATATCTTTGGGTTGTACTGAATTTGAGTATTTGATTTTAAAACTTGCTGTTTAAGCCACTGACCAATTTAATTTTTCAAAAAAATCTTTTGGCTCGGGATTAGGACAGAATTTCCAACAATTTTGAAATGATTCTATTTATATACCTGCCATTCTGTACTATGCACTGATGCAAAACCGTGTTCTCAGTACTGACAATTATGAAACAAAAAACTGGTCAACTCTGAAGGACACTGGAGATGCTCTAGGTCTTTCACTATCAAACACTCAGCCAAGACTTAATTCTTTAATGTAAAAATAAACATGCACATGTATCCCATAAGTATGTAAATTTGCTTTCCTCTTTAATAAATGGTAAAATCAGATATATAGCAAAGAATTGATCTAAAATAAATTTCATTATGATTTATTATTGGTGAATGTTTGCTGTGCTCACCTACTTTATATACCCACACAGGGTTGTGTAAGAGTTTCTTAGGTGAAGAGGTTGAGAGTATAAAAAGTCTAGGAAGTCTACTCTGAGATGACGCATGCGTGCCTCCTCATTTTGTTTGTGCTTTCTCTTCTCCATAACTCCCAACTCCCAGATTCATGAGTTTATGTGACTTGTCTAGATGTCTTTATAAGTATCTAAGCTTGTAACTCTTCTTTCAGCAGGTGGGATTCTTTTTTTTTTTTTTTTTTTTTGGTTTTTTGAGACAGGGTTTCTCTGTGCAGTTTTGTGCCTTCCCTGGAACTCACTTTGTAGCCCAGGCTGGCCTCGAACTCACAGAGATCCCCCTGCCTCTGCCTCCCGAGTGCTGGGATTAAAGGCATGCGCTACCACCGCCCAGTTCAGCAGGTGGGATTCTGACATTGGTAGGAGATGCCCTGGATGGCAACTCCTACAGTGTCACCCCACTGTACCCAACTTCACTCAGGACTAGTATATCCGTAACACCCATTTTATTTATCACCAACATGATCACCACTCAATACACAGTAAACACCTCACAGCAACCAGTAATGATAGTGTTCTTGACTTATAAAAATTACATGAACTTGACAGAGCATACAAATTACAACAGTTATTATATTTCCCTGATGGCTCATGCCCTTCAGGTATAGCAGTAAATGCCTTACTGAGGAGGAGTTATTGCACTATAGTTTCAGATAAAGTCTTAAACAGCCACACATTACCTGACAATTTGATTCCTGGTCCCACCATCCTTCTGAGCTATTCATACTGATCTGTGTGGTATCTTGTGGAATACGCCAAACACACACTAAGCCATTCTGACAGCCACTTAATAAAAAAATCACAAAGGAAAACATACCAAATGAAAATCTGCTTTGTATCTTTTAGGCAATCTCTAAAAAATTTATTTGTTTGTTTGTTTTTATGTGCATTGGTGTTTTGCCTGCATGTATGTCTGTGTGAGAGTGTTAGATCTCCTGGAACTGGAGTAACAGACAGTTGTGAGCTGTCATGTGGGTGCTGGGGATTGAACCCAGGTCCTCTGGAAGAGCAAGTGCTCTTAACCACTGAGTCATCTCTCCAGCTCCCTCTTAGGTAATTTTATGGTGTTACACATTATAAAAATAGTAACAGACACTAAATCGAGATTACTGGGAAGTCATACTATTGCAAGTAACCGTCTACACTACCATAAAAATCAACACACACACAGATTTATAACATACGTGGCCATCAGTAACTGCAGCTTGGCTCCTTTCCCTGGAAGGCTGCACCAGGCGATACCATTTACAGTGGATGGATGACAGAGTGAATGCAGACAGCGCCAGCATCCTGAAACAGGCCCCCAGAGTTTCACATTTTCTTCTTTGGCACATGTCATAAGAATATGGCCTGTTGGGTCCCATTTCATACTAACAAGAGTCTCCTTAAAATGGTAGGGAAAAAAAATCAGAATAATACTCGCTTCACAATAAGTATTTTATATTATTTGTGGATGATACTTCTATAACACAATTATTTTTATATGAATCTGTTATTTCCACATAATTCCTAATCTTAATCAACTTGCCTTTTAATACAGTCTACATTATGTATCTATTACAGTCAAAGCTGAATAAATGTCAAGTTAAATAAATTATGAAAACCTGGCTCTGAAGACATACAGTACTTTTCCTTTGCATGTGTACATACTGAATCATTTTACTGACTGCTAATCATTACAATGTGAAAAAGACAGAACCAAAAACAGAAAGAAAAAAAAATCCCTCACCCCAAATTAGTGAAAATGCTTATGTGAGTCTAGGGCATGTTTTGTGTCTATATATGTCTTGACCACTGTGCTTTTCTGTTTTTCATTTTTTTATAATTTTATTTTATGCATGGGTATTTTGCCTGCATGCATGTCTGTGCTCTATGTGCATGATTGGTGCCTGTAGAGGCCAGAGAGGGCAAAGGAATCCCTGGAACTGAGTTACAGATGGCTGTGAGCTGCCATGTTAAATGCTGGTGATTGAACCTGGGTCCTCGGGAAGAGTAGCCAGTGCTCTTAAACTCTGAACCATCTTTCTAGCCCTCTGTGTTTTTGTTATAACCCTCCTTCCACACATCACAACTCCTGGTTTCTTGCTTTTACATCACCTGACTGGGTGGCCCTGTAAACATCGGACTAGAAACCTCTGAGGCTTCATTAGTGGAAAGTCTGGTATTAATGGAGACACCCTGGGCAGGGGATATTCCTGGGGCACTCTATTTCACTCTTTTGTTTCATTTCTTTTGTAGCTTGATTTTTTTTTTAAAACACAGATTCTTCCATGTGAACACATGGCACAAAGACTTTGTGTAAAAACAGATTATTAAACCACAGTAACCAATGCAAAATACTGTTGAAGATACTACCACCAAACAAAACTACAATAAAAGAATCAAGAAAAGCAACCATCGAGAAGATGGTCTTTACCTTATGTGCATCAATAAGAACAATGCCTCCTTTCTCAAGTGGTTCTTTTGTTCCCATTAACAATTTTCCATCAAAATATCCTACTGCAAACGGTCTGTCTTCACTGAACCAGGCAATGCAAGTGACAGATACTACCATGAAAAAGATATAAGGATGGATTTGTCATTATCTAGACACATAACTAGGCACTTTGAAAGAGATCTGTGCTACTACCATCACAGCAAGAAAACTTCCACATAGCTCACAAGTTAGAACCTACAGCCTAGAGCCCATACAACCCATTTTAAAGAATGTCATTTATGACTGAAAGAAATGACCTCATTGTTAACATTTCATTCTTTTCAAGGTTTTGTTAAAAAGAAAAAAAAAGAAAAAAAAAAGACAGTAACAATTTGGTTGGTATTAAGGCACTGTACCAGTTCTTTTGGGGAAGAATCTACTATAAAAACAGAAGAAAAGTAGCATAAACCATAGAAAACCATCTGTTCGCTTCCTTCTGATGCCCTAATTGGTATTCTCAGGCTTTAAAGACTGTCTATCCCAGCCTCTGATCACCATTGCTTTTCTGTACGCTGTGAGCTGCGAAGTAGGAAATAGTACCTAGAGGAAGTGATGGGGAGGGGCTGAGCAGATGAGAAGATTTTCCTTCTAAGCCTTTCAAAACTTTCTAACTTTTGAAGCCTGTGAAGTTATCAAAATTTTAAAAGTGGATTTTAAAAAGCCTAAACCCAGCCGGGCGGTGGTGGCGCACACCTTTAATCCCAGCACTCGGGAGGCAGAGGCAGGCGGATCTCTGTGAGTTCGAGGCCAGCCTGGACTACCAAGTGAGTTCCAGGAAAGGCGCAAAGCTACACAGAGAAACCCTGTCTTGAAAAACCAAAAAAAAAAAAAGCCTAAACCCAAACATAACAAACAACTCTCCTGCCAAACAGAATACTATACAAATAGGCACTGTGACCTCTGAATTACTTGACTTTACCCAAATAACTACTAAAAACTGCTAATAAGACATGCACTTACTCAAAGGTACTCAGTAAGAAAAAACAGGCTGTGGTGATATTTTATTTGTACTGAAATGTGATTTTATTTGCATGTTAATAAATAAAGTTGCCTGGGGGCCAGAGCTAATAGCAAGCCATAGTAGAGCTGGGCGGTGGTGGCGCACGCCTTTAATCCTAGATCTTGGGAGGCAGAGCTAGGCGGATCTCTGTTGTTCAAGGATACAGCCAGCATTGGAGACACACGCCTTTAATCTCAATACCAACCATAGAAGACCTGGAGGTCTGTACAGACAGGCAGTGACGAGGCAGTCATGTGGTTGGGTTTACAACCAATGAGAAGGCAGAACAGAAAGTCTATATAAAGACAAACACACAGGAAGTAGGTCTCTTGGCTGAAGAGGATAGCTGCAGCAGTGATGGGTAAGGCTCTTAGCTCTGACCTCTTGGGCTTTCATCTCTGCATTGGCTCTGTGTTTCTTATTTAGTAAGATGGTTACTTCTACAACAGGCAAAATTTGTTTCTTCTGCTGAGTCCAGGAACCTTCCTCCTCCATCTTCCCCTATTTCCTTAATTTTACTCAGTGGTTAACAACTTGTTTTTAACTAATGATTTTTCTCCCCTTTGACAGCTCTAACTTTTAAGTTATATTTGGATCCTGCTATAAATGTTAAATCATTCACACAAAGGATGAGTCACTAAATGGAGAAACAAAGTGAAGTCTCCCTTTGTCAGAGAGATACAGTAAGGGGCGGGAGAGAAATAGATTTCAATTACTAATTAAAATCAAATACCTGGAAATTTTAGAGAACAAAGCCAAAAGTAACATTCACTCATCATTTATACTCAACCAAAACCCTTTTTGTCAATTTGTCTAATTTCTTGACTAGTGTAACTTCTTACCATCCTTTCGATAGCAGTGTTCCAGTTCTCGGCGGCGCATAGTGGACACGTCAACAACTTCAATCAGTCCTAGAGACCCATCCATCCGTCCCACCAGCAATAACTCTGGAGACTCTCCAGACCAGGCTGTAGCTGGACCTTCTTCTGGCCAAGCCAGGGCAGACACCCAGTGAGGCTGAATATCTACTAATCCTTTTCCTCCTACAGAAAGAGAAATGTTAATTTACCCTATTTAACTCTTTATTTTTTATTTATTTATTTTTGCTTTATGTGCATTGGTGTTTTGCCATGAGTGTCAGGTCCTCTGGAACTGGAGTTACAGACAGTTGTGAGCTGTCATGTGGGTGCTGGGAATTGAATCTGGGTCCTCTGGAAGAGCAATCAGTGCTCTTAACCATTAAGCCATCTCTCCAGCCCCCTATTTAAGTCTTAAAAAAAGAACAAGTGCCAGGTGTGGTGGCATACATCTCTAATCCCAGCAATGAAGAGGTATATATGTATATGTATATGAGAGATCCCTCTCTCTATATAGATCTCTCTCTCTATATATATATATGTTAAATAACTATATATATATATATATATATATATATATATATATATATATATATATATATAAATGTAGAGAGCAAGAACCTTTCCCCAAAAATAAATACAAACTTAAAAAAAAATACTTATTAGTTAACATACCCATGCAGTCTCCAATTTACAAAAGCCTATGAATCTAAAAGTCTGTGAACACAAGATTTTTTTACTCATGTCTTATATATCATTCAAGCCAAGTATTTTGCATAACTACTTATAGAACAAAGTACTTCTACAGAAGACAGAATAAAGGAACAGATGTAGTAGTAAATGGCAAGCACTTAAGTGCTTTTCTCTTGCTAGCAAAGTGGCACATGTTCCTTTCCAAGGACAGTAGGAGAAGGCTGAAGCAGCATCATAAGACACTTCTGCTTCTGGTTTATTTGTTTTTGACATAGGCCTCATCATGTAGGCCAGACTGACCCCCAATTCTCAGCAATCCTCCTGCCTCTGCCTCCCAAGTACTGAAATTCCATGGGCCATAATGCTCAGTGACTCCTGATAATTACTGAAAACCCAATTAATATGAATAATTTACCTACAGCTAAGACTAGCTAGCT